GGGATGCGTGCCGAGGCGGCTATGGCGAGTAACATAAGACAACCAGGTTATTGTGGCTCCCCAGCGCGGGCGTCTTGCCCCACAGCCGGGTGCCAGAGATAATACTTAGCTCTTACGCAGCGCTACTGAAGGGATGCTCCCCGCCACCCCCGGGGTGGCACAGGGGCTGTATTCCTGCCCTGTGCTGGGCAGCAGCAGAGGAGAGGGGTGGGGGTCCCCGTGTCCCCGCTCCCGTGCAGCCAGACCCCGGCACTGCTGTCCCCGGGGCGCCGGTGGCTGGGAAGGGACACGTGCCATGGTCCGGACTGCAGCCGAGGGCAGGCTCAGGCGAAGACAGCGGAGTTTTGCCAGTAGGAGTAGACAAGGAAGCCAGTGAAGGTGCTGTCCGTCTTGACGCTGGCATAGAAGCCGATGTAGTCCCCTACGCCCACCTGCACCCACACCTCATCCTCAGGCTCCAGGCGGACAAGGGCCCCCCCTGAGAGCGAGGTGGGCTTGGGCCAGTTCCCGTAGTACTGGAAGAAGGAGGCGATGGACTGGCCGTTCTTCATGATGTCAAACTGGAGGCTGGCGCGGTAGACGGTCGCGTGGACAGCAAAGTAGTAGAGGCCAGGCACCTCACAGGTGAACTTGCCCGTGGCCGGGTCGTAGTGGCCCTGCTCATTGATAAGCACCACGTCGAAGCGGATGGGCTGGTCGGCCAGCGGTGGGCTGCGTGACTCAGAGCGCTTGGCACTGAAGGCTGAGCGGGGGGCCACTGCGCACTCGCCCTGTGCCCCTTTCTCGCCATGCATGCCATCCATGCCGGGGCTGCCCACCTCCCCACGGGGACCGGGTGCTCCTGGGGCAGGCAGGAGGGGGACAGGGTTACCTCTAAGCCACTGCCACCAGCACACCCTCCCACCATCCAAGATCCCCTCGACCCCCACCCAGCCTCAATCCCACCGAGGTTACAAGATGTGTGTAGTGAATACCCACCGTGGCCAGTGCTCTGCCTGGGGAAGCAGCAGAAGACGGGGGGACTAAGCACATAAGTGGGCACAGTGGGAACAGAGAGTTGGAGAAACCCCCACAGGATGGGAGAAACCCCAGCCGAGGAGCCAGGGTGAGGATGATGCAACTGCATTACTGGAACAGCTAGGTTAGCCCTCCTAAAGCAGGGCTGGAAGGTAAGGGATGGCAGTCAGGATGGGGAGAAATGCAGCTTTGCCAGGGATGGGGAGCTGCTGCCTGTTGCAGAAGCACAGAGTCACCACGAGCAGGACTGGAGGGGCGGTGGTGGCACGAAAGGGGCACTTTTGCAGGATTTGCTCTCAGTTTGGCAATGGGGGGCTTTGCCAGCATCCAGGACTCACCCCCTGGCATGAGGGCCTTCCCCCCAGGCAGGGCAGAGCAGGTCCCCCTTCCCAGCCAGGACATCTCCGTTCTTACCAGGTGGGCCCATCTCGCCCTTCTCTCCTGGCATCCCCATCGCCCCGTCCCGGCCATCTCGTCCGTCTCTGCCTGGCAGACCCTGGCCCCCGTGCAGGCCTGGGGTTCCCGGGATGCCCGGCTGCCCTGAGCACAGCCCAGGGATCTTGTTGTCTTCAATCTGCAAGGAGCTGGCGATGAGCCCGAGGAGGAAGAGGAGGAGCTGCTTCATCTTGTCTGCCGTGGAGGGGCTGGAAGGGGGCAGAGAGGGGTAATGGCCCTGGGCACCTCAGTGAAGAGGGCTGGCAAACAGGCTTGCAGTGCCCAGCAGGGAGTGGGTATAGGGAGGGGCAGCAGGGGACTGGTCCTCCCTTCTTTCCCCCCTTGCCTTTTCGTCGGCTCCGCATGGCAGAGCTGACCACCGG